GTTTGTGCCATGTAACAAACCGTACCAAAATTTAGTAGCTTAAAGCAAAATCATTTATGTATGTCATAATTCTATGAGTCATAAATTGGGGCTGGGCTCAGCTGAGAGGTTCTTCTCTTCACTTTTGGTCTCACACATGTGTGGATTAATGGGAGCTGGCAGGTCTAGGGTGGACTTGACTGGAATAGTCTGTCTCTGTTCCAAAAGGCTAGCTGGAGTTTGTTTTCCTGGCAACAGAGCAGAGTTCCAAGAAAGAGCATCAGTATGCAAGGCCTCTTGAGGTCCAAGGTTCAGAACAAGAATCACTTTTGATATACTCTATGGGCCAAAGTTAGTCCCAAGTCCAGATCCCAGCTTGCTCAAAACAGTGACCCATCTCTTTGGCCTCAATCTCCATAGTTCTGGTAAAAGAAAAAAAAAAAAAAAAAATTGAGGTAACGGGTTTTTCCAAATGATAAAACCTAAAATTAATGAAGAACTAAACTTAATAAATTTTCAAAAATACATAAAATGTAAAACTGCTGAAAAGATAAGAAGAAATGGATAAATCTATAATTAAGATGGAAATATTTAATGGGTCATAGGCCTCAGGAATCCTCTAAGTAAACAAAAAATGCACAAGCATACTTAATTTAAAGGATTAAAAAGGCATTTTAAATCTTGATTTAATACACATGTAGAACTGTTAACTAACGAATTAAAGTAGATTCATACCATTTTAAAGCACAGCTGAAAAATGGCTAAAAATTATCATCATAATACATGTATATTTCAAATGTTCCAAAAGAAATCAATCCACTCATATAAACTAACCACAATATAACAACTTTATGGGTTAAAAAAAAAAAAAACTACAAAATTTTTTAATAAATCAAAATGAGAGTTCTACGTACAAAATCTTCATTAAAATGGTTAAAGTAGAAATTAAATGAAAGATGTAAAGGCATTTATTAGAAAATCAGAAATTTTACGTTTTTAAATTAAAAGCTAATTAAACTCAAAAGTTAATTAAACTCGAAAAGCTAACAGACCTGAACTTGCTCAGCTGTCTTTATCTAAGATTCATCTATTTTACTGATCTTTTCAGACAGAAACTTTGTTTATATTGATCAATGCCACTATATTTTTTGAAATTTTTCTAATTTTCATTTATTACATTGACAAATTTTTTATAATTTTTAATGTGGTGCTGGCAATACAATTATGAATAGTTATGAAAACCCGATTTTTCATTTTAAAAAAGTAATTTAAGTTATACCAAAATTTTAAAATATATGTATGATTTCCAAAACAAAAGTGAAGCATTTAGTTATTTATCCTTAAAATATATTAGTCCTTGTCCAGGCTCAGTGGCTCACACCCGTAATCCCAGCACTTTGGGAGGTTGAGGCAAGCAGATCACTTGAGATCAGGAGTTCAAGACCAGCCTGCCCAACATGGTGAAACCAGGTCTTTACTAAAAATGCAAAAATTAGCCGGATGTGGTGGACGGCTGTCCCAATTACTTGGGAGGCTGAGGCAGGAGAATCACTTGAACCCGGGAGGCAGAGGTTTCAGTGAGCTGAGATCATACCACTGCACTCCAGCCTGGGCTCCGTCTCTAGAAAACAACAACACTGGGCGATTAGCCATTATATTCGTTTCCTGGATGAGCCATTTTTTAAATTACTTTTTGTTGGTGATTCCGCTGCAGAGCTGTTGCACCTTGTTGGGGGTTAACACCCAGACACTCCCACAAGGCCCCGATTACCCAGGGCTGCCTTTTGGCTGGGAGGAGCAAGTGCCCTTTCTCTTTGGAGCTGAAAAACTCAGTCTCTTATTTATCTGTGAAAACAACAGTTCAGTTCCTCACGCAAATGCACACAGACAAACTGAATTAAGACAAATTTTAGGAGAACAAGCAATAGAGAATGCCTTTTAGAATGCATCTCAGAACTAGAACTAGGATCCTTAAAGAACAACTTCCTAGGAAAAAAATATCTCATAATAAATCAAGGACCGTCAACCAAAGGGAATTCTGGGGCTCAGGAGAACTTACCAGTTCCACTAGAGGAAAAGCTCAAAGCTTCAATGGGCAACTGCTGGTACCTTAGCTCTGGTTTTGGGCAACTACTTCAGGGTTCTGAGTCTTCTCTAAGGCCTCATGTGTTTGGGCGCCAAATTATTGTGGACAAAAAGAGTGAAGCTCTGTAAAATATTTTAAGTGGTTTATTCTGAGCCAAATATGAGGGATCATGGCCCATGACACAGCCCTCAGGAGGTCCTGAGAACATGTGCCCACGGTGGTCAGGGTACAGCTTGGTTTTATATATTTTAGGAAGGCATGAGACATCAATGAAATACATTTAAGAAATACATTGGTTGGGCGCGGTGGCTCATGCCTGTAATCCCAGCACTTTGGGAGGCCGAGGCTAGTGGATCACGAGGTCAGGAGTTCGAGACCAGCCTGACCAACATGGTGAAATCCTGTCTCTACTAAAAATACAAAAATTAGCAAGGCATAGTAGTGCACGCCTGTAATCACGGCTACTCGGGAGGCTGGGACAGGAGAATCGCTTGAACCCGGGAGGCAGGGGTTGTAGTGAGCCGAAATTGCACCACTGCACTCCAGCCAGGGTGACAGAGCAAGACTTCATCTGGAAAAAAAAAAAAAAAAAAAAAGTCGAGCTTACAGAAGGAGAGAGTAAAATAATGTAGCAGGCAGAAGGGGATACGGAGAGGTTGGTTAACAAGTACAAAATCACAGCTAGATAGGAGGAATGAGTTCCAGTGTTCCATAGCTCTGAAGGTAGCTAACAATCATTTATTGCATATTTTCAAATAGCTAGAAGGGAGGATTTTGAATGTTCTCACACAAAGAAATGACAAATGTTTGAGGTACCCTGATTTGATCATTACACATTGTGTACATGTATTGAAATATCACTCTGCATCACATAAATGTATCATTATGTCAATTAAAAATAAAATTTTAATTAAAAAATATATTTTAAAAATAAATGCTATATCTGACCTGACACTGTAATCTCAACTGAAGAAGGAAATGAATGCTATAAAGGTATTATTAGGTCAACTGGAATATTAGAACACAGATATATATATATATATATATATATACGATAGATTAGATAAAAGTGGTGTTGATTTAAATTTATGGAGTTAGTAACTATACTGTCATATGGGAGAATATCCCTATTCTGAGGACATACACACTGAATTATTTGGGAGTAAAAGGCCATGATAATATAAAGCGACGAGCATATAACTTATTCCCAATAGGTTCAAAGAAAAATGTATACAAAGATACATAGAGAGACTAATAGAGATATGCATATAACTATAGATAGACAGAGGTGGGGCAAATGCTGAAGCAAGAAAGGTAAAATGTCAACAGCAGGCAAATCTCAGGGGAGCTGGGAAAAGGGTGTTGTACAATTTGTATGTTGCAGCTTGTATGTTTTAAATTATTTTTAAATGAAAATATTTTTTAATGGGTTGAGGAAATTGGGGTGACTCAAATGTATGACATCCAGTGGACTGTGCATGCTGTATGGAAACAAGGAAAAAAGAAAAGTCATCGCTGCTTAACAGGTGAAGGATAAAAAGACAATTAACTCATTGAAGACTATGCACAGGAACACAAAAGCCTTTGCTTCTGTGGTTATAGATTTACCAAAGGTACAAACGGGATTGTATATATTTTAGGATTATAATTTACATCACTTAATTGAAAAAAATTACAGATTCTATGATATTTTTACAAATCTGAGCAACTGCTAAAGTCTTGGGACATATTCTTACCAAGTCCTAGATCTTTTGTTTTGTTTTGTGTCTGAAATCACACCAGGTTTTTTAGAGCAGGAAAACGTGAGAAGCTAGAGCTGCTTTATTCAGTTGGCCCAAACCAGGACTCCTGAGACAGTCCCTTATACCACAGGCACCAGATTAGAGTAAGGAGCCTAGAAAAGTAGAGCTGGAACACAAAAGGAGAGTCTTGATGGGAAACAGATTCCAAAGGATACTATGCTGGGGAGGGGGCCACAAAATACTTCTTGAGAAGAATGTGGAGATGGCAAAGTCTCTAATCTCCAGAAACCTTAAACTCTAAAGGAAGAAAGCAAAAATTTAGATATGAGAGTGTTCGTATTAAAATTCAAACAATAAGTAATTTTTCTATAAATTATCCTCTTTTTCCAATCATGAAAGTACACATAATTGTTCTTTCCAAACTCAGGCATTTTAGACAAATAGATGATAGATGATAGATAGATAGATAGATAGATAGATAGAGATGATAGATAAATATAGAGGTACATACATACATAATACATACATATATACGTACATATGTTGGCACATAGATGTTTCCTTATCAAAGATTATTCTAGATGCATATCTTGTAACCTACATTTTTACACTTTTTCATCATTTTTAATAACTGCATGCTGCTCTATTATATTTTATATTTTCTATATTAGATTAGACACATGTTTTATCACCATTAGGTGGCTTTTGGTTTTTTGTTACTATAATGTTGAGATAAACCTCTTTATGTACTTGTTCAACTATTCCCTTTAAACAAAAGCCCAAGGTACAAAGTTCCTGCGGAAAAAAAAGGCACATTTGAAGGCTTCTGATGTATATCGCCAAATTGTGCTACAAAAGAAAAACTGCATCAGTTAACACTCCCAGCAACAACCAAAAGAATGCCAGTTTCCCTCTCATCCCTCTCACCAATACTGGCCGGAATGCAGTTTCAGAGATGAGTGCTGGGAACCAATGCACTCTTTGCTCTACCTCTCCCACTCCTAACAGTCTAGAACACAGGCACTCAATAAATTAATCCATGCTCCAGCCCAGTAGACATTCTGATCTAATCTGACTGCTCTCGGTAACAGAAAACTCTCCCTTGGTTCACTGCCCCATATCCTGGCATCATGTGGATCCTATAAAGGCAGTAGCTCCAGGCACATTACAAGGGGACCCAACTCCATTAAACCACCAGCAGCTCCCCAAGCCACCCCTTCAGCCATGAAGTTCCTGCTCCTGCTCTTGGCAGTCCCTGGCTTCCTGACCCAGGTGATCTCAGGTAAATTGGATAAATAAGGGAAAGAAGAATTGGGAAGAAGGAACACTAACTGATCTGGTTGTTCTGGTGATAGATGAGCCGGGTGGGAGCAGGGATCACCCCAGAGTTCCAGTCTAAAGTAGGGATCTTCTAATAACCACCACTAGCCTTGATATCCCACACTTACACACCCAGCCACCACCCTATATAACCTTTACAAAAATGTGTTTTCTATTCTAAAATGATAGTCACCCTCAACCTGAACCCAAGTGTTTTCTTTCACTTTATGTGAGCTCCCTATATCTAACCTTCTAAGACACTGAAGCCTTCTGTCATCACCATGTGCATCCATTGAGATCAGCCCTGGGCTGGGGCTCAAAGGAGATATTGAGCCTAGAAGGAAGAGATTGACGTTCCCATCCCTATGCTCAAAAGAGAATTGGCAGGTGGGGCAATGGAAGGAGACCTCTTAGAGGCTAGTTCCCACAGGATGGTAAGCAAAGAGTTCAGCTCAAACCCTGGGGCTAAGAGAGAATGCAGGGTCAGAAAGAGACAGACAGAGAGGTGGGGGAGACAGAGATTAGAGGAGAGCTAGGCAATGGATGTGAAGAAAGCCAAAGAGGCCTGAGGGTGCTCCAAAGAGGCCCCTGCTGTGAGCCAATGGCAGACACAGAGCACTGAAACAAACACATTTCACCAGACTGTGAAACGGTGCCCAGTACGTGTGAATCCAAAATGCCCTGTCACGAGCAACCATTATTTTATTTTTAATGGTTTTGGAGAATGATTTGACTCTCCCCCTTTGCCCCAAGTTGATTAATATTTACAGTTCTAGAGTCTATGAAAACAATAAGGCAGAAACACCTTAAAAGGGAGGCTGTGGGGTGAGTGAGAATAGCACCATTTCTCCCTTTGGAGTATCCAAGCTCCTCCCTGACCATGAAGACCTGGCTCCCCACCCCCGTTTTTACCCATACATCCTATTCTGCAGTATCAAATTTAGCAAAATTATGGTCTTCCCTAGCTTCAAAGATGCAGATACTGACAAAGAGGAAGAGCTCCTCAGACAGAGTTCCCCAAGGCCATCAATCCAGGAAGATTCTGTCTCCTCATCACTCGCTTTCCCAAGTCTCATTTGCACGACATCCTAAGGACACATCTCAGAACAAAAAAACAAACACTCCCATCTGGCCCTGACCCCTTAGCAGTCCTGTGCTGCTTCCAACCATGACTTCTCTGTCCTGTCCTCTCCCATGCAGCCAGTAGCGGTGCATCAAAATGTGTGAGTGACATCCCAGGATACTGCAGGACACATTGCCACCGGGGGGAGACAGCATTGTTCATGTGCAAAGCTGTCAGACAATGCTGCGTCAGCTACTTGTTCTTGCCGAAGCCTGACCTACCATACCCCATCAGTAGGCACCGGGAATCAAGGAGAAGCAGCATGCAAAGGAAAGACAAGAAGCAACAAATGACCACAACATCATAATAACCACTGCTATTGTCTTTACCAACTCAAAGAAATATCATTTCCACTGTTCCAATTCCTCCTGCATTGTTAAGAACTAGCCAAGGCTCCTCCTTATGGGGTAGATATCTATAGCCAACCCCAAAACATCTATCTTCTCCATCATTGTCATTCACCTAATAACTAATTTGGAGTCTGTATCTATCTTATGAGAATAATCATTATGCAGACTCATCCACAGGGGATCTGCCAGTTTGGGTCCAAATGAAAAATGCCAAGACAGAATTGGTCATGCAAAAGACGGCCTGGGAGAACACACCTCTGATGGACAAAGGTGAGAGAGAGCAGCCACAGGCAGGGAGAGTCTTCAGACTGCAATGCTGGCCTGATACGTAACAAAGGAGAGAGGGAGGGAGGAGGTTTGAACAGGGGAACACTGAGACTGCAGTTCTAAGAAACTCTGAGCCAAACAGATGGGGAGGCCCAAAGCAAGGCTTGCCTCTCAGAGGAGTTCACACAGGGCAGGATTAGCCAGGCTCTCATATCCAATGGGTTCAGTCTTTGGCTGAGAACAGCCCCTGGAGAACATGGGGTGAATGCTACCATAGGTCTAGAAGTGTTATAGCTTGAGACTGTCCACCAACTATCCCCTTGAAGCAAGTTCTCTTGAAAGGAAATCTGAACAGTGCACCCCCATGGCTGCCACGGAGTATGAGGGAGGGAAAGGAGCTCCAAGTTTAGGTTTGGCCAGCCAGGTAGACGGATTTGTGAGGTATTTATTTATTCATTTGGGTGATAAAGCAGAGAAAATTCATAGCCACCACTGATAGTACACCCCGACAGCAAGGATGGCATGATGCTGGTGACTTAACTGTGCCTGCCCATGGTATAAAATTGGCATAACCCTCTAGGAAGCTGTGTGGAAATAAGCACAGAGAAGCAGAACTCTACCTGTTTAATCCACCAAACATTACTTCTGGGAATTTGTTCATTTCAAATTATCCAAGAGAAGCACAAAGTTATGGGCAAAAAGGTGTTCCATATAATATTATCTAAAATGATGAGAAAATGAAAAAATCTAAATAGTGAAATACTACATACTAATGCCATCTATAAATACAAATAGAATGCTTATAGAATAATGGAACAAAATGTTATTCAAAATTGCATCGCTCTTAAGCTGTGGCTGTCAAAATTGTCTCCTTATATGACACAAAACTCATGAAAATTATGACAACTTTTTTGTTTGTTTAGAAAGCAGAATTGCTCATAAATTTCCTCTTACAGTTTGATGCCCATTCATTTTATATAATGTTTATGTGACAGGTACTACTTCTATCTGAGAAGAACAAACTAAAACACTCAGTCCTAAATAATTAAAAGCAGTCTTAACAACCAGCAAACCAGATAAGAAAAAATGTTAATGCCCCTTCCCTAACTTATATCTTAGACCAAAATTAATTATAGATGACTTTAAAATGACAGTGTAAAAGTAAAGTGTTAAAAGATTGTGTGGTCAAATATTTAAGAGCAAGAAAATTCTTATAACAATAGAGGCAGAACTCATGTAAGAATAAATTTATTAGGTGGCATAAAATATTAAATTCTTCTATATGTTAAAAGATATCATTTTGAAATTCATCCATCTTATTGGGTATTGCAGGAGTTCATTCTTTTTTGTTAATGAATATTCTTCCATCAGGCAGCAAATCACACTGCCATGTGTGTTCCTATGCAACAATTTTGCATGTTCTTCACATGTACCCCAAAACCTAAAATACAATAAAATAAATAAATGGGAAAAAAAAATATTCTTCCATCATATGAATAGTATTTATTTATACACTGATTTGTTAATGGACATTTGGGTTGTTCCCAGTTTGTGGCTATTACAAATAAAGTTTCTATGACCATTTATGTACAAATCTCTGTATGGATGTATGCTTTTTATTTCTCTAAGGTAAATACCTAGGAGTGGAATGTCTGAATCATATGGTAGGTAAATGTTTAGCTTTTTAAGGAAATACAAAATTGTTTTCCAAAATGGTCATGCCAGTGGATGTGCCCATCAGCAGTACGTGGACGTTCCAGCTGTTCCTCATTCTCACCAGCATGTGATATGGTCAGTCTTCTGCATTTTCATCCTTCTAGTAGGTGTGTAGCGGTATTTCATTATGATTTCAATTTGCATCTTTAATAACTAGTTACCAAAAAAAGTATATTCTGTATGATCCTATTTACATAAAATTATTTACAATTCTTTTTAAATTACATAAAATTATTTTTTTGAGACAGAGTCTCTTCTGTCCCCCAGGCTGGTATGAAGTGGTGGGATACCAGCTCCCTGCAACTTCCACCTCTCGGGTTCAAGTAATTGTCCTGCCTCAGCCTCCTGAGTAGCTAGGATTACAGGCATGTGCCACCATGCCCAGCTGATTTTTGTATTTTTAGTAGAAACAGAGTTTCACCATGTTGGCCAGGCTGGTCTCAAACTCCTGACCTCATCGTCTGCCCACCTCAGCCTCCCAAAGTGCTGGAATTACAGCCGTGAGCCAATAGAAAGTAAGACTCTAATGACAGAAAGCAGATCACTGGTTGTCAGGGCATGTGAGAGGTGTGTGGAGCGGACTGAAAGAATGTTGCAAAGGGACCTGAGGACACTTTGAGGGGTGATTGATCGAGATACATTCATAATCTTAACTGTGGTAATGGCTTAACAGGGGTGTACATAAGTCAAAAAATCATCAACTGGTACAATTTAAATGTGTTTAGTTTATTGTACATCAATTAAACTTCCAAAAAAGCTATTACTTTAATAAAATAAATCTCCCAGTGAAACAGAAAAATTAAAGTATCATAAATAGTTTAAAGATGTTGACAAACTAAGACATGTGATGAAGTATTGATACTGATAAAATGTAACAAGTTAGTATGAAGCAACAAGGAAAATATCAAACCCCAGTAGAAAATGAAAAAGTGACATGAACTAGCTTTTTAACTCCAAAAATGGCCCAAAAAATGGGAAAAAATCTGTCTGACTTGTGATCAAATAAATGCAAATTAAAACTAGAATGAGATCTTGTTTTTCACCTACCAGATTGTCAGAGAATTAACAAACCCGAGTGTGACAAGGCATAAATAGAAAGAAGTCTTATCATCAGATGCTCTTGTTTAGAACTAAATATGTCAATTCTGGAAGACATTTATCTATATCCCTTTCAAAACCCTTAAAAACGTTCATGTTCTGTGGCTCAGAGACTCTACTTTTAGGAATATATTCTGAAGAAATAATTAGACTTCATATCAAAAAGATTAATGTATATACAGCACAATCATAGCAGCACAGTTTAAAAGAGTGAAGAGGAGGTGATGCAAGATGACTGAATAGAAGCCCCCACTGATCCTCCTCCCCACAGGAACACCAAATTTGACAATTATCTACACAAAAAAGTGCCTTCATAAGAATAAAAAATGAGGTGAGTGATTACAGTACCTGGTTTTAATTTCATATCACTGAAAGAGGCACTGAAGATGGTAGGAAAGATAGTCCTGAACTGCTGACACACCGCCCCCCAGTCCTCAGGCAGCAGCTGCAGCGGTGTGGAGAGAGAATACGTGCACTTGCAGGAGGGAGAGCACAGTGATTGTGAGATTTTCCATTGGAACTCAGTGCTGCTAACACTAGGCAGAACTCAGCAGATGCCTAGAAAGGGATCATTCAGACCATCCTAGCCAGAAGGAAATCACCCATCCCAGAGGTTCGAACTTCCGTTTCAGCAAGCCTCACTATCACGGGCTAAAGAGCTCGGGGGTCCTAAATAAACTTGAAAAGCTGTATAGGCCACAAGAACTGCAATTCCTGGGCAACTCCTAGTGCTGTGCTGGGCTCAGAGGCAGCAGACTTAGGGAGCACTCAACCTAGTGAGACACCGGCTGTGTGTCTGTGTGTGTGTGTGTACGTGCGTTTCTCGTGTCTTAGTCTCCCAAGTAGCTGGTGGTGGCAGTGGTGGCCCATCTGGAGTGGACGCTGCCATCACACCACCTGGAGCAGGGAGGCAAAGCTCAGGCTGCACATTCCACAGAGCTGCAGAGCTGGGGACAATGGGAGCCCCATACCTTCCAATTCAGTGAGGCAGGAGCTCCCCAGGTGCAACTGCTGCCACCCAAGTCGTGGCTGTGAACCCACGCCTCCTTGTGCTCTTGGGGGTGCAGGAGCAGGCAGGATCCCTGACCTTTTGGATGCAGCTGCAGCCGCCCAAACCACAGGTGCAGAACCAGGCATCTCTACACTCATGGGGGTCAGGGAAGGCTCCACTGAAGTTGCGTGGCGGCATGTATCTGTAGCCCCAGCTACTTGAGCTGAGGTGAGAGGATCATTTGAACCTGGGAGTTCAAGGCTACAGTGAGCATGATCACACCACTGCACTCCAGCCTGGGTGACACAGCAAGACCCTGTCTCAAAAAAAAAAAAGGCCAGGCACAGTGGTTCATACCTGTAATCCCAGCACTTTGGGAGGGCCAGGTGGGTGGTTCACAAGGTCAGGAGTTGCAAGTGCCATTCTCCCTTGCAAGAAGTTGAAAAATTAATACAGAAAGTCTCATGTACCCATAACCTAGTGGCTCTCGGAGGTAACATCTTCCATAATTACACTACATTATCAAAACTGGGAAGTTGACATTGACACAATACAGCTAATAAGACTATAGCCTTTACCCATATTTCACCAGTTTTTGCATGTACTCAGTTTTGGTTCATCATTGTTTATAAGTTTATGCATTTTTTAATTTTACTTTAAGTTCTGGGATACATGTGCAGAACACGCATGTTTGTTACATAGCTATACATGTGCCGTAGTGGTTTGCTGTACCTATCAACCCATCATCCAGGTTTTAAGCCCCGCATGCATTAGGTATTTGTCCTAATGCTTTCCCTCCCCTTGCCCCCACACTCGAACTTTATGCATTTTAACATGTTTAGATTCACAGAGTGGCTTCGCCTTTTGGAACTCCCTCGAGTTACACTTTTAAAGTCACACTTTGCCCTTTCTCAAGCCCCTAGCAATCATTATCTGTTCTGTTCTTTCTTTCTTTTTTCTTTTGATAGGGTCTTGCTCTTTCACTTAGGCTAAGTGCAGTAGAGTGAACACAGCTTACAGCCTCAAACTCCTGGGATCAAACAATCCTCCCATCTCAGCAGTCACTCCAGTAGCTGGGACCACAGGCACCTGCCACCACGCCCCACTAATTTTTTTTTTTTTTTTTAGAAACAGGTTCTCACAACGTTGCCCAAGCTGGTCTCCAACTCTCCAATTGCTGGGCTCAAGCAATCCTCCCACCTCAGCCTCCAAAAGCACTGGGATTACAGGCATGACCCACCACACCTACCATTTTAATCTACTTTTAATGTCTCTCTACTTAAAAAAAAAAAAAAAATCTATCCTAGCCCCCAGGTGTTGATTAGTAATAACCAAGCCGCCATCTTCAGCATTACCCGCTCCCTGGAAGAGGAAGGAGAATACAAGCTGTTGGTGTATTCTCAGGAGACAATTTGCAGGCTCAATCCAACCAGGAAAAGCTGCGCAAAAAGATTCTGTTACCAACACAGCAGATGGGTTCAGTCAAGCAAGGGGATTTTATTACTTGCAACAAGTAAGGAGAAAGAACACTGGGATAGCTCCCAAAGTAGTGTCTCTTAGGGG